ATTAAATATTTTAAATATCATCATCTTCTGATAGATGCTTAATGTTATTGATCAAAATAGAGCAACAAGAAAAGATTCAAACCTATTAACATTGCAGCTACAACCTAAAGAGTGTTTGTTTGCTGAAGACAAAAAAGGCACAGACTATTCTATCTATCACAAAGACAGATATTATACAAAAATTGCAGGTTTTGTATTTTTGCATTTTTGTACTTGATTCTTAAAATTAAACCATATGAAGTTAACATATACATTTCAGGAAAAATTAGGACAAGATTGAAGACTTACTTTTCTGATATAAAATATCTGTTTTACATTAATGCTTCTATTTAAATTCTCATTTCTAAATGACAGCACCTTATGAGATATGTCCTGAAGACTATTTGATGTCAATGGTGTGGAAAAGGACCCCAGCTGGGGACATGGCATTCAATCGATGTCCCCTCAATGCCACAGGTACAGTATTACTTTGAAATTGTACAGTGATAAAAAAGGGGAGAAATCTTTTGCATTGTGTTCTAGACAGAATCATTACTAGACTCGTATACATACGTATATATGCATATATGTGAATATATCTATATAAGCCCCACATATTTACATATGCGTATACATACATATAGTATGTATATGCATGTACATATGCTCTGCCTCTTATAGCTTACATATATGCATGGGTTGGTGGTGTATATATATGTATACACATACATATATATGCATTATAGCCAGAGAGAAAAAGCTGAGAAAAAATCAATTTGACAGGACCTATCAGGCAAAGTGATGAAAATGAAGCAAAACATAAAAATCTTTTTAATTAAGAAAACACTGCTAAAAACCCACCAAGTGAACATTGAAATGTGTTTCAGAATTGTATACTACTCTCTATATGCTGATGATCATTGCATGAAATTATTTTTGTGTGTGCTTTTAAAATAGCATAGAATGTAGTTTAAATAAGGTTCATTCTTTCCAATTGCTCTCACTTATATAAATATTTTCTGTCTTCTTTGTGACTTACAGGCACCACTAGCAGACGCTGCTCTCTCAGTGTTCATGGAGTGGCCTTCTGGGAACATCCAAGCTTTGCTAGATGCATATCAAATGAGTACAGACACTTGCAGCATTCAGTAGGTGCAAAGCCAGCTTTAGTACTTGCTCTGTTTATTCATTACTAATCATTGGTGTGAAAAAAAAACTTATTTACTGTCAAGTCAGATTTCTGATAAGAAATACCAGGAAGAAAATAGACCTAAGAAAGAATAATTTATATTAATGTATATTATTCTGATCTTGCATATTGCTGGTGTTTGAGTAAAAGAAGCTTTGTCTTACTAGAAATGGAAAAATGAATCAGATTCCCTTTTTTCATGTCCACTCTGTGAAATTTTTATAGGGGTCAGAGGTGAGATATATTTTGGTTTATTAGAAAATGAGATGTGAATAAATGAGATTTACTGGAAGAGTGACCTGCTGAGTAATTTTATAATACCTTGAATTCTTTAATTGCACACTAGGAAGTCAGAAATTATATTTCTTTTTGCTATCAAATTTAGAACTTCACCTTCAAATGTAACAATAGGAAATGTAAAGTAACTCTAGATGAAGAAATATTATGGGTTTTTTTCAGTATACTTAACAAAAATTTCTTTGCAAATCATATGCATTATACATTTATCTACTGCCTAAATATGTTTATATGCATAGACGTAATACACTGTATATATCGCATTGTAAACATACTACCATGGTATACGCTAGGTATATTGATTACATTCTATTTCCATAGCCGAAGCATTCAGCCAGGTTAATACTACTGTGGGAAGAGCTCCTTTGAAGATTCTCATGGACAATGTTTTTTGCCTGCATGATATATTTTACTGACATTCTTATTTATTATTACTCTGCCTCCTTTTCCAAAGGCCACTGCTCCATTAATCATTCAGCAGAGGGGCACTAATACAGCCATGTGCTTCATAACTTCCCAACCTCTCAAACAAGTGCAGTAGCACTTCTGTAGCATGTTTAAAAATCTTTGGTGGCTTGAAAGGTAGTAGCCTGGCTGTCACTCCTCAAATCTGGGTTGCCACTTAGAGGAGATTTTGATGAATTCCTTTGAGCTGCATTTCTGTTTCATTAGATTCCAACTTAATTGAGGCCTGGGATTCAGTTTCAGGGTAAGCCAAAGCATTATTTCTAAAATAACACAGAATAAAGTGTCAAAGCAATTTTCCCCACTACAGAGAAACTTTCTCATTTTATATAGCTGTCCGCATGTTGCTCTATCCCTTTAGTGTTCACCCTGGAAAAAACAACAGTAAGTTGGCTGTAATTGTTTTGCATTTTATATTTTTGATATTTTATTCTTTTTCAACAGCTGCATATAGTATGTGTAAACGTACTTTATGGGCATGGACAGCAACACATTTGTATTTCATTTGCTTAGAATCTGTATTTTGGTAAACAGCACAATAAAGGCAATGACTGTAGGTGATATATATACAGTTTTGAATACTAATAATGTCATATTGAAGAACAAAAAATTCACATTTTGTGATTGAAAACATTGAGATATTTCAAAGTAAAGCAAATTACTTCTCTTTTACTTGCTATTTTTTGCATTTAAATATTGCAATCTTCCGAAATATTTAAAGGATTTTGAAATATTTTAAAGGGTTTATTCATCTTGACCTGCCTGACCAGAAGACCATCCCTTTGCTCTTACCTTTTTACATTTCATATCAACATTTATTCATAGCGTTGATCCTCATGCCACTGATTCTATAGTGATATTCAGCCTTTTATTTTTATGTTATTGCTAGAAGTCATTCATAAACAACTCAAACAGTGGGAAATGCTCTTTCATGTTATTCAGTGGTTTGACTTACCTGGCTAACTTTTGGTGAGGCACTGATATTTTTTGAAGAGCTGCAAGTCTGCCTAGCAGGAAGGGATCATTGTTGGACAAAAGAAGGCATTTCTAACCCAGATCAGATTTATGTATTCTTCTATGTTTCCTTTTTCAAAATATTAAATACGATTAGACCACACTATGAAATAATCTTTTGCCAAAGAACATTTAAAAATAACTAAAGCTTCTTTAAAATTACACAAGCATCTAAACATCATCTTATTGCTGCACAAAATTTCAGTCTAGTTTATATGCATACAAATTAAAGGAGAAAAGTGGATTTCTTTTACACTTGGGAGCTGTTCACAAAGAAAATCAGCTTGTCTTACATCTTACTGCTTCTCAAAGTGAACAACACAACATATTTAAAGAATCGTAGAAAATAGAGGTAAAGACCTATAAGGTCATCGCCCTGCAAATGTAGGCTTGTCCCCCCACGATACATATGTCAGCTCTATAAATCCCTGAAAATAGAGCTTTATAAGGAAGCTGCTGACAGACGGTGTTTCTATAATAAATATGTGTGCTTATGAAAGCATTTATGAGATGCCTCAGTGTGCTTAACTTACCAATAATGTTATTTTACTAACTCAGACCAGGAGTAGTGGGGGGTGCCACGCAGTTCTGTGAATGTTCTCATAAAATCTGAGTCTGAGCTGAATCCCTTTCATTTCTTACCTGAAATACATAAATGAAACATAGGTGTATAGTCTTAAAAAATTATATTTCTGAAGTTCATTTAAAGCAGTTGATATATATAATATATATACAATACTTAATACATTAAAGCATGCCTGTCTGGAGGAATACAGACAGATCCCTGTCTCTTTGCCCTCCAAACAATCCACATATGATCCAGAACCAGCCCAGAAGTCATGTAGTTGAATTCACATGGTGCTGTGCCCAAGCAAATACTTTCTAAAGAAAAGCATTTCATATGCTGCGAGCCAGAGAATACTGCCTTGGCCACAGACGCTGCTAACCTGGCTACACAGATTCTAGACTGGAAGCTTACAGTTATACTAGTAAATAAACTAAACAGGGTGACTGCCCAAGCTTAAACACTGTCCTTGCAGTCATCTACACTGTTTAACTGTTTATCTGTTAGCATACTCCCTGACATGATTTAAGACCGTACCAGTGAGCACTCTCCCAAACAATGCCTAGCATCCTTTAGAGGATAGCATGGGAGAGAGACCATTCCCAGCAGGCAATAAAACTATTGTTTTCTGAGACAGAGGAGGGAAAGAGAGATTAGCTTGAGGGGTAGAAGCTGTCTGTGCTCATTGGCCTCAGGGCTAGACAATATTCCTGTGGCTATTTTATTTACCTGTATTTACTATTTATATAGTAAAAACACCTTACATTTGGGCAGCTTGGACTGTGAGTAGAGAAGTTCAGGACTGCATGTGTCCATCAGTGAGGCCACACCTGGAGTACTGTGTCAAATTCTGGGCTCCCCAGTACAAGAGGGATATGATGTTACTGGAGCAAGTCTAGCAAAGGGCCACTAAGATGATTAAGGGACTGGAGCATCTCTCCTATGAGGAAGGGCTGAGAGAACTGGAGCTGTTGAGCCTAGAGAAGAGAAGGCTAAGGGGGGATCTTATCAATGTATATAAGTACCAGAAGAGAGGATACAAGGAAGATGGAGCCAGACTCTTTTCAGTGGTGCCCAGTGACAGGACCAGAGCAATGGGCAACAAACTGAAACACAGGAGGTCCTATCTGAATGTCAGGAAACACTTTTTCACTGTGAGGGTGACTGAACACTGGCATAGCTTGCCCAGGGAGATTGTGGAGTCTCCATCCCTGGAGACATTCAAAAGCCATCTGGACATGGTCCTGGGCAACCTGTTCTAGGTGACCCTGTTTGAGCTGGGGGGTTGGACCAGGTGACCTCCAGAGTTCCCTTCCAACCTCAACCATTCCATGATTCTGTGATTCTGTGACTCCCATGACCCCAGAAAACTGGAAATTCACACAAGGCAGAAATCCTGAAAAGTTAATTCATAGACTTCCACTCTAATAACAGTATGATTTTTACTTTCTTCCTAAAAATAACCTTTTCCTATGAATGTTAACACAGGTTTTCAGCAGATGTCCACATTAAGGCAGAATTCTATTCTATATATAGTATAGAATTTTACCACATAACTGCAGGTGATTGACCCCCGAAGACTTTCCTTACTATATGTAGCTACAGTAGGTTCACTGCCTCATGCACAAAACCTCTTGTATTTTTACAATTTTCTCTATTACTCACCTGAAAGTGACATGGGACAAATTTCAACCCTTAATGAGCAGTATTAAAGTAGCAGAAACCCAGGTAGTGCTGCATGTTCTTCAGCTTGACTCAAGACTTGTATGGAGACCAATACCATAGCTATGCAAATCATGCTAAAATGGCACTATCTTTTAATCTCAAAATCCATTTGGAAGTCTATTTGCAAAAGGTGAAGAGTCAGTAAAGTTAAAAATACACTCGTAATGCTAAAGATAATATACTTTGCTTATAACCCCCAGCACCATGAATAATTTAGGTCTTTTTCCAGCCACTTACAGAATGTGCCAGGCGGAATTACTGCCTCTACTCAGGATAGGCGCTTCAGATGCAGGGTACTGGCACCTCAGAAGAAAGCAGGGTTTTCCATTGGTTAAATGGAATTGTCTAGATATGTGGACCACTTTTTGATACATATATCAATATTGTACTTAATATTCTATTGCAACAGTTTCAGAGTAATTCACAATCTTTAATTAATACATCTCCTCAACATATGCTTGAGATCAGGCTCTACTGCGTCTCCATTTTTTGTTGATGGGGAACTGAGTGAGACAATTAAGCAGGAAATTTATCTCTGGTCTTCTGAATTAGTGCCTAGCCACTGTTCCTTCTTCATGTTCATACCTCTCCATATGAGAGCTCTGAAAATCCATGGCATGGTAAAAATGTAATAACTGCAGGGCCTCTGAAGAGACTATACACTGGAACATGATGAAACAGTGAAGGGGAATGGTTTGGCTTGTGGAGTGGAGATTGTCAGTCAGCTTGCATCTTTCGAGAGCACAGTGCCCTACATGATTCCCATGTAGGAGCTTGAGTAAAAGCAGTTAAGAGGATGATGCACTTCAGCTATGCCACAAATGTACAGCCTGTACTTTCATTAGTTTATTTTACCTTGTGCGCTATGGAATGCAGGTCCCTTTTAAAACTAG